ACAAAAAGAAGCAAAAGACAGTCCCTGCCTTCAAGGAGCTCACTATCCAATGGCTCAAATCTGAGCTCTCCTTGACAGTAGGGTGACCCCATAAGTCATTTCACCACTGGATCTCAGTTTCCTCATCTGTGAAATAAAGGGGGGAGGATAGATACTCCCTAAGGTCCCTTTCAGGACCAAATCTTATGTCACTCTCTTGCTCAAGAACCAATTGTGTGTATCTTAGGGGATCAAGTCCTAAGAGACTCCTTCATAGCCTATAGCATTAGAACTGAAAGGGCCCTCAGAGTTCATGGAGTCCAACCCTCTAATTTTACAGAAGAAGAAACTGAGGCCAGAGAGGTGAAGAGATTTGTCTAAGGTCATATGGATAGTTTTCAAGGCCCACTTCAATCTGGCCCCCACCCTACTTATTACTTAGATGCAGCTAGGTGGTGAAGTGGAGACCTGGGTAAAATTCAATCTCAGACACTTACTAGCTGTGTGACCCTGAGCAATTCACTTCCCCTTGATCTGCCTTAGTTTTCTTATCTGTACAATGGGGATAAAAATAACATCTACCTCACGTAGTTAAGTGCTTTGCAAACTCTTAGACACCATATAAATGCTAGCTAGCTAGCTACTTATGTAACTTTATTCAACCTCTCCTTCAGGCAGGCCCTACTATCCCCTCTCAAACACATCAAACTCAAGGATAAGTATACCTTGGGTAAGTAAGGGCAGAATGAAGGGACTAGGTTAAGGAATGAAGCCGTTCTTTAATAGGATAGTAGAGTAACCCAGACTCCAATGGCAGTACTCAGTGTCGATAGCTGAAAGATGGGGAAAGAAGTTGAATGTCTCAAGCCTTCTATAGGTGGCCCATCCCTGGCTCCTGGTTTCCTGCTCTATTCTATAGCTGCTTTCCCATTTCACCAAGAAATTGGGGGCAGGGGAGGAATATATGCAGCCCCTAAGTTCTCAAAAAAGAGGCTTTGTCCATTTCCCTCCATTCCCCCATAGGCTACAACATTCACTTAACATTCATCAAGTGCTTATTGTGGACGAAGCACAGTAATTTCTTCCTTAGTCCTGTAGGGGACGCCACATACCAATGGGAGGCAATGAAAGTATGTTGGAAAGAGCACTACATTTAGAGACATCAGATATGAATAAAAGTCTCAGTTCTGCCACTTGATTCAAGCTTGGACTTACTTCTCTGAACCTCAATTTTCTCATCTATGAAGTGGAAATAGTAACACTTCCCCTGTTCACTTCAAAGGATAATTCATAGAACCAAAGAATCTCAGAATTCACAGTACTCTTGAGAAGATGCCATCTAGTCTAACATATACCTATTCTGTAAAATGAGTCCGAGGACTGGGTTCAAATCCTGCCTGTACAGCATGGGCAAATCACTTATCCTCCATGTGTCTGAGTTTTCCTCAACAATAAAATGAGGAGTTAGACCCAATGGCCTCTGAATCTATCTATGATCTCTACAACATTCCTGACTAGTAAGTGGTCATACAACTTTTGCTCAAAGACCTCTATGGAGTTATTGAGGTATTGGGGTGGGGGATGGTGTTTGAGGTTGTTCTGGAAAGATGGATAGGATTGAGGGTGAAGTGGGCATCTTCCAGACACAGCCAGGAATGAGAGTAACAGCAAAGGTGTGTCTGAGACACAGGAAGTACAATGAGCTCAGTCTGCTTGGGGTGTAGTATGGTGTGAGAAGGAGATTGTATGTGGATTTTGATTATTTGTGCTCTCTCTGGGCCTTGTGCTAACAAACAATCAACAGCTGGGCTATAAATCAAATGTTCATGGTAACGATGTAAGACAAGCCACTTAATCTCTCTGTATCTCAGTTTCCCCATCTGTAACATTTAGAAATTGGATGAGATAATACCTAAGGTCTACTCCAGATCTTAATCCAAAAATCCTATGAAAACTTGATGTCTTTCCATATACTAGCTCTGAGAAAGGAAAGAAGACTTCAGTAAAAAAGAAGCTAGATTCTGAATCTTTTCCTCTGGAACCTTGGACAGTGACTTCTGCTTTTACCCAAGAATGCCTGCAAAAGTGACTGGGGGTGGGGTGGTATGCCATTTGCCAAGATAACAGCCACATCAGAGGGTTGTCTCGGAAGGGCAAGAACAGGGCAGGCTGACATGCTTAGAAAGAACTACTTCTGGGAAACACAGCTTCTTGTCAAATTAGCGTTACTAAAAATAACCTGACATGCACTTATGACTTGAGTCATGCAGCATCATCAGGAGAATGCTGCCTTTGGTCTACCAAATTCCAACTCAGAATTGCTCAGTACTGTATTCTTCATCAGTGGGGGTGTAGGTGGATTGATTGTTGGACTTGGAGTCAGGAAGATCTGAGTTCAAGTTCTGCCTTAGGCATTTACTAACTGTGGGACACTGGGCAAGTCACTTCACTTTCTCTACTTCAGATTCCTCATGTGTAAAATGGGGAAAATAATAACACCTATTTCTCAGGGGTGTTGTGTGGATCAAATAAAATAACTAACATGCAGAGCACTTTGCAAACCTTAAAGCATCAAATCCATGCTAGTCATTATCCTCCTCTTCCTCCTCTTCATCATCATCTTCCAAAGCCCTGAAACCTACTGATAAAGAAATATTTCTGATGATTATAGTAGTTAGATTCAATCTTTATTAGAAAAACATTAGATTTCATCAAGAAACAGGATATTTAGCCTGGAGGAGAGAATAAAGCTCAGGAAGACGTGGCAATTATCTTCTGGCATTTAAGGGATTAGTCTCGTTCCCAAGAGCAGAACCAGGAACAATGACTGTAAGCTGCAGTGAGGAAGATTTAGGTTTAATGCCAGGAAAAACTTTACAATAATTAGAGCTGTCTGAAAATGGAATGGACTGCCTCAGATCTTCCACTGAAACCTAGAGGATGGCTTTGCAAAGATAGTGTAAGTGAAGGCTTCTTTTATTCTGGCTTGGGCAGAATTGGGGGGCCTCTGAAGTCCCTTCCAAATTTCAGGTTTTGTGACTCTGTGATGCAAACAAGTTCAGAGAACCTAACTGACCTGGTCCCAGTGTGCCATGAGAAGCAGGGATGGGACAGGATTAGTTCTTCATTTTGTAAACAAATTAGCACTATGGAGAATTTCTCCAAGGTTACCAAAGACCAGGATTAAGAACAGAGTCAATTAGTTAACATGTTTTTAGACTACCCACAAAGCATGTAACAATGTGCTAGGTGTGTGAGCACATAATGACTACACAGTACCTCCCCTCAGGAGGTTTACAGTCTGATAGAAGAAGGTAGGAAAGCCCACACAAAGGGAGGCAGCCATTGCAAGGGTGACAGAAGGAATGGTGATGGTTAATTTTGGAACATGGCTCACATCAATCAAGGAAAGTTTCTTGAAAGGAGGGGCATTATAGAGGAAATTTTTGTTCATGTGTGGGTTGGACTAGATGGTCTCTGAGACCCCTTCCAACTCTGAGATTCTGTGATTTGGGCTGCTGTGTAAAAGGTTCTAGATTCCCAAATCCCAATCAAGTGTCCTAAACACATCTCTTGTAAATTATCCCTCCCAATTCATATTCTGCCTTAAATACACAGTGCTTTGCGTAGAGTAGGTGAATGCAAAGCACATAGGTGATTAATAAATACCTACTGAACTAAAGAGGCATCATGACATAGTGGACTTGGAGTCAGGAAGGCCTGGGTTCAGATCCCACCTCAGACACTTACTAGCTATGAGATCCTGGGCAAATCACTTTACTGTCTGCCTCAGTTTCCTGATCTATAAAATGAACATGTTAGACTCACTGGCTTCTAATGCCCTTTCCCAGTCTAAGTCTATAAGCCTAGGAAGTGCTCATGTCTAGTACGGTTCTCAAGAGTTTGTAAAAAATTCTCTATTGATTGCACCTTGTTAGTCTTTGGCAGAGATACTGGGGTCCAAAGTTCTGTTGCTTGCCTGCACTGACTGATGTGAGGTAGAGAAGCATCTAGGTATGTACTCCAAAGCCCTCTCCACATTAGCCTACCCCATTGACTTTTTTTTTCCTGGCAAGGCTAGAATTCAGTACAAGCTTCAGACTTCTGATTTAATAGCTTCTAGAATACCACATGGCAATGGAATGATGATGTTGGCTTTCTCTAGGTTCGTAATCGTCTCCATCAACACCTTACAAGAGGGAAAAGTGATGGAAGAGGAAGGCTATGTGTTGGGGGTGGTGAGTGGGGGATATCGACTTCGGGAAAATATTCTCTGGTGTTGATACGTGGGAGCAGAATGCTTGGGATGTTTCTCCCATGGGATGTGTCTCACATTCTATCCTTGGTGCTGACTTCACAGTCTTTACGAAAGAAAAAAAAAACCAAAACTTCTGCTTTACTCAACTACTTGGAACTATAGTCACAGTTGGGAGCCCACATGCAGGAGGAAGAATCTGAATTGAGTGAGAAAGGGCATAAAATTGCTCCAAACATCCAGGCTTGTTTGTGACAGCTTGAACTCTTTCTCTAGGTTGAAGGTTGCCTGTAATTTCCTTCCTTCTTGTCCTTATTTGGACCTCCCAGCATCCAAGCAACAAGCTTGGGGAGAGATGGGTCCTGGCCAGCCATCCTGTTTCCCTAAGTTGTTTCCACAGCAAGGAAGCAAAGAATCCTGAGGCATCTTTGTGAGATAATCAAGGATTTTTTTTGGTTCCTCTCACACCTTCAAAGTGTGAAACCTCTTGAGCCAAATCAACAAGAATGTGACTCTTGCAGCCTAGGGTTCCTGAGGTTGTGACAACCGTTGAAGTGCAGAAGCCACCTCTACAATGAGGTTGTGACAGTCTGCACTGGACTGATAACTTTAAAAGGACATCTTCTCTTGGCCCCTCGCTCCAGTCCTTTATCACTGCAAGTGACAGAATGGGGAGGGGTACATCCCTTGGGCGGTCTCAGGGTGCTGTAGGGGGATATAAAAAGGCAAAGAGGCAGACTGGGAGGCATAAGAGAACAGGGTCGGAAGACCAAGAGCAGAGAGGGGAGAGAAGAGACAGCAAGCATTTGACTGACTGAGATTGACGACCAGTCACAGCATGGGCTCCTTCACTATCATCTCCATCAACATTCTCCTCCTTTTGACTTTGCAGCTTCAAGGTCGAGCCAAAGCCAATCCTGTGTCTAATAATGACCTGGTGGATTTCAAGGTAGGACCAGAGACAGACTTGGCAGGGCCAACAGCAATCAGGAGAGGTATTTTGGCATGGTGCTGATTTTTTGGTCACTTTCTCCCAATGTAATGAACTCATAAACTCTTCCCTTTGTCCCCTTTTTTATTTTTAGAATTTGTTGGAGCGCCTAGAGGACAAGATACCTTTAGAAGACGAGGTCATGGCCTCGCAAGGACTTAATGAGCAGAATGAAGAGGCTGAGGAAGTACTTAGCCCCCTCTCTTCCTGGAGTGGGGAAGTCCGTCCAGCCCAGCGAGAGGCAGCTGTCAATCGGGGCACTTGGGAGCAATCTGAGAGATCTGCCCTCCTGAAGAATAAGCTTCGGGCCCTCTTGACTTCCCCTCGAAGTCTGAGGAGGTCTTCCAGCTGCTTTGGGGGCAGGATTGACAGAATAGGAGCCCAAAGTGGACTTGGTTGCAACAGTTTTAGGGTAAGGAGATATGGGAATGGGATAGGGAGAAAAAAGTCTTATAGCTGCACTAGCATTCAAGCAGAGGGAGAGGGGCTCACTACCAAGGGAAATCCTCAGCAGATGCAGGGACTAGATTCTTGCTCCCTCTGAAATACATGACTCTCCCCTTTGGGAGTATCTGTAGCTACAGTATATTTAGGAAGCTGTAACAATCAGGCTTGATTCTCCAAGGGGGTGAGTGTCACCTGACATACTAGAGAATTAAAACTTCCATAGGACCAAATTGTTTTATAATGTGAGTGGCTTCAATATATTTTCCTTTCCAGAGTTGTAAAATTGAAGGGTCAAATAGAATGGGTTGTTGTTGGTGGTGGTCCTTTATTTTTGAAGAGGATCAATGACATCATGATGTAAAATAAGTAGATAATAAGGTAAAATAGTGGATGATGGGTGATGTCTTGACTTGCTCGTGAAGTAGATTTAAGTGAGGCAGAGTTGCACAAAGTCGTCAGCCTCACTCTCTTTTCCAGAGTCATTGAAGTCCAGAATAAAATAGAATGGATAAGAATTTCTTTAATCACCTTTTATGGTCTGAACTGTCCACTAGCTCTGGAAGTCACTTTAATATGCTAGGGAAAAGAAGCAGTTCAAGAGATAAAGGATAAAGGGTCTTAGTTCTTTTCCCATGTTGTACCTGCCATCCATTCCAATCTCACATTGCCTTCTTTAGGTTGTCTAGCCAGGATATTGTTAACCATATATGTCTGTCTTCTCTTTATAGTTCTGAAGATAATGCACAAAGAGGAAAACATGTGCTGTACCCAGTCAGACCCACAGAAGCTTCAAATCCTTTGGGACTTTGGCTTTATTTTGTCCATTTGTTGTCAGCCAACTGGGCTTTGAATGCGCTCCTGGTTCAAGCTACAGTTTTCTTTTGCCATTTCACAAATATAATTTTGAATGTAGACAAAGTGGTGTGATGGTGGCTTTTGCCCCTTCATTAAATCTGAGTTTAAATCCTAAGCAGCTCAAGGACGAATAAATTTCAGCACCCTGGACAGAAACAGTCACAGCCTGGTGTGATTCTTTGTTTCCTAGGGAAAAAGAGTGGGGGATTCAGGTCTATTCCAACTAGTATATTGCCAAGATAGCACAAAAAAAAAAAATTTTTTTCTCTAAAAAAAAAATCAATTAGCCAAAGGGTCGCCTATCATCATATCTATGGAGGCAAAGAAAAGCATAATGGCCATTTGTTAAGACTGATTCAAATGCCATTTTTCTCCTGTTGTGGCTAATGTAGTTCATATCTATCATTGTATGGTTTTTCCTTCCCATGCAAGTCTTATCAGATTTTTGTTTTGTTTTGTTTTTACACAGACATGTTTAGGGCACATGTTTCTAATGGGACAATGCTAGGAGCTAAATAAACATCAGGTATGCTTCACAGAAGCTGACTACTGGGGTTGGTCTGGCTCGGCACTATTTTCAGTTATTGGATAGAACTAGAATTGAAGGCAGAATAAAAGAATAAAAACGTGTTTCATTTGGGTGCTCCGTGATCACGTGTAAATGAGGTTTTAAAAAGGCTTTCAAACCTCTTGGATCTTAACATCTAAAAGTCAAAATACAATCACCATTCCCTTAATGAGGGATCTAGATGGCTGAATTATGAGACTCTAATGAGAGTTTGTAGCATACCCTTGAGGAAGATGCAACTTTATTAAGCTTTTACTGCCCCATGGAATCCTTGTAAATTAACAGGAGTTTCTCAGGCAGAAGACAACGGCTGGAGACATGGGTTAGCACCCTTGTTCTCAGTAAGTATGGGAAATTTGGAGAAAAAAAAGGGTAAGAAATACAGTAGCCATTAGTCTCAGTGCTGAATGGAAGAGAAAGACAGGACAGGGGATGATGAGCGGTCCTATCCACTTCATCATGGAAGACCATGAGCACTTAGGACTAAGAGGGCCAAGAGCAGAGGCTGCTGTCAGGAACACGGCCCTTTCAAACTCATTATTGAATAGGACACTGACGAGAACTAGATGGAAGCTTACGGCCTCCCAGCGATACCAATGCCACCCAACTGGGAAAAGCACCACACCGCTACAGTACAAAGTAGAAAAGGTCCCGTCTGAAAAGAACTTTAGGGTAATAAAATCTTTGAATAGCTCTCGAGGGGTGGTGGGATTTCCATCTTGTCACAGACGACTTGGGCATTCACATACTTAAGGAGTCAGTCAAATGATTACTTCCTTGACCTTGGGGAAGTGACAAAAGCGTTCTCTATGAAACGAGGTGGTTAGGTGCCATGATCCCTAATGTCCTTGCCAGCTCTCTGTTCTCCTATCCACTGATGTCCTTTGCTGCTCTGAGTTTTTCCACCTCAGGTTTATTGACTATTGGTTCTGAAGGCCATAACCTCTCTCACGATAATTCATCCAGTTTTTTCAGATGCCACCTGCAGAGCAAATAAATTCATCCTAAAATTCATACATGTACTTTCATAATCAGGTCTGCCAGAATGAATCCTAATGTACACGCCTAGGGACTAATGAAATACACCGACACCTATACTCCCTGCCTACCTTTCTCATGCCTTTTGTTTTGGTTTTTCATAGGAATACATGGGGTTAATTCCTAAGCCATTTTTGCTACAGAAAGACAACTAGATTCTTTGAGGTTCCTGACACAGAAAGCAATCGATACAGGGGCTGGCCAAGTGGGATGCATTTGTAAATACACTGCAGGATATTCTAACTGTGACACAAATAAAATCTTGGTGTCCTTCAACAAGAAATTCAGTTGTCGACATGTCCCAGCGGGAAGAAGCTGGAAGTCGACAGAGACTATCAAACTTCAGGAAGGATGATACTAAGAGGCTGGTCTCTTTAAATTGACACATACTGATCCTCAAATTTGAGTACACCCTGAAGACAGCTCCTAGGACAGATGCAATACATCTGGCAGAGTACCAAGTCTACAAAATCCCACTTCATTTGATCGATTCTTTTGTGAAGGCAAACTACGCCACCTTTTGTCTCAATTTTTACCTAGCCTTTGATCACTGAATGGGTGTTGTCTTAGACAAACTGAGACCAGGGAAAGAACTTAGCCTAAAAAGGCCAAGGTCTCCCACTGCATCTGGGGCCATCACCAGTCGTCCTGACCTACATATTGTCACTGAACTCTGATGACTCTGGTGGAGAGAGTGTGGCTGATGACTTTGCACAGCCCTGTGTCACTTAAATCCAATTCACTTTTAAGTCAAGACATCACCCTCCTGATGTCATTGGTCCTCTTTGAGAATGAAGGACTGATGACAGCAACAATCCTAGATTCATAATTTTTATGGACTGACTACAAAGGGAAAAGACAATTAAAAAACATCATGGAAACTAGAGTGAAGGACACAGACAAGGACATTTTATTCTCAGACATGTTATGGTTACAATGAGGACTTCCAAGTGCTAAAAGTTCAAATAAAAATATTTTTGTACAAATTAAAAAATATACTATATATACACAATGGAATTAGCTTACATTATTTTATAAACAAACAGTGCAAACAGAAAAAAACACGTTACCATTGAAATGACTGTTGCAAGGCAATACTGCACATCAACACTGCACAGGTTCTCAGGAGGGGCCCCAGAAGCCCTAAGACTGTCCCATGGATGGGCACACATCATCACTTAGATCTGCATCAGAACAGCATCACAGACAGCAATATCCAGAAACACAATTTCATTTAGCTACCAGCTCTAAGAAACTGTTAGTTAAAATAAGCAAATGATCCGATTACATCATCAGCCAGGGAGCGTGGCTTCATTATTTGTCCTCCTTCCATGTTCAGTGAGTGAAAATCTTGGAAGTGGGGAATTTTGAAATGTCATGTTGGGGATAAAAGCCAAAGAAATATCCTCTTACACTGTGATGCTTACGTTAAGGTGCCAGTCCACATAGCCTGCAGTGCCTGGAGGCTATGTTGAGGGTGTAAAATGCTGGTTTCTTTTACAGAAGAGATGCCTGATGTGGACTTGAAGCCATGAGATTCACATTCCATCTTTTGTAGGTGAAAAGCCGTTGCCTTCGGGCTTTAAAAAAAGGGATGACACAAAGACATCAAGTCAGGAAAAGAAATGCAAGGCCCCAGAGGGCTCTGGGCCACTCATGGTCTGGTGTGCTCCATGAACAATGATCTGGGATGCACCAGCCTTGGTTAGCTCAGACTCCACCATCACTTGCTTCTAGGCCACAGTGATTGTGGAAAAACCTTTCCTGGTAGTGTATAACCCCATACTCTGACAGTCTGTGCACTGGGAAGGGAAATTCCTGGGAGCAGCCCCCAGACATGGCCATATGGATTTGCTGTCCAGCTGAGAAGACAGACGTAAAGAAGAACCCGTCACATCAGTTGTGAGAGGGAGATGGGAAGGAAAAGCGTGAGGGCAAAACACCTGTTCAGTAGGGTGCAATTCTCCTAGTTTGTACAGACTCTGTAGTGCAAAAGGTCTCCAAAGCTCTTGGTAAATCTTCATGAGATTAAAAAAAATGGAAAAAGAAAATGAAAACTATCATGTTACTGCAGCACTCTCTCATGTGTTAGAATGGTGGCGGCCACAGCAGTTAGCTGAATTCACAGTCAGATGGAGACACCCAATTTAGAGGGAGCCAGCATTTTGATCCTAGGGATTTCCGGGATGATGGGGAATTTCTTCTCCACTGAATCGAGAAAAAGTGAGTAATTTAGAAACAAGTTACAGTAATTTTGGTCAACGTGACAAAGAACCTTGGGCAGAGCGAACCCAAGTCAGGCTCACAAGACTCACAGGAGCACCTTGCTCGCTTTCCAACGTGCTGGTTTACAGCCAGGACTGGCCCCAGCTCCCAAACTGGAGCAGCGTCTACCATGGGAACCTCAGCCCAAGCCTCCACAGCAGTGACGGAGGGAGACAGGAACTGAAGCAAGCCCTCAGCTCACCTTCAAGGAAGGAGGAAAACACTAAGACATCGGAGGATGCCACTCACGATACCTTGGGTCAAAGAGAACATAAGCATCAAGTGCGCAGTTAGATGGGGAGGAGGTGGCTGAAAGGCAGAAGCAGAGGAAAAAGAGAGGGCCTGGCCACCAATGCCTGACTTCCTCAGGTGCAGTGCTCAGAGAAGGAACTACTCCAATGGAACTGAAGTAAGCAACAGCCACCAGAGGAGATGAGGCTACCCGCTTCATATAACGCCTTCAATCCAAAGCCTAAAAGAGAAGCTGAAGTCTATGCGCTATCAGGGAGGGAGAGACGTCTGGGTGACCTCTCTCTATCTGCGCTACCAGCAGAAGAACTCAGGGGGCAATGTGAGGACCACAGAGCCTGTGTGAGCATGGCTGGGGAGGATGGGGCTGGGGCACATCTGATCCAGAGCTCCTCAGCCCTCAGTGGGAGGACGGGCCTCACTTTTCATTTCTCTGACTCAACGCACACCTGAGAACGGTCAGGAGGTAAAGCACTAGCCCGTGTAAGTAGTTTCTGCCATCACATAAAAATCCTAAAGAATTTCAGACTGAAGTGAGACCATCTGACCCCAGCAGCAAGTGCCCTGCTCTCAGGTAACTTTGGGTGATGCTAAATTCCTTTGGGCTGCTTCACCAAGGAAGCTGATGGAGCTAAAGATGCTTCTGCTTAGTTATCTTTGGAGAGGAAAAAGGGTCTGAGAGAATCTCATCTACTGGCTTCACACAGGCAGGGCGTGACTAATTCGTAAGCGGCCAAAGGCCACTGGAAACATGGAGAGTGGAGGGGAACCATCAGAGGATGCACAGGGAGAAGCTCTGGCCCTACAAGGACTCCTGGCTGAGGGCGTGCATACATCGACATCCTCGCCGTGAGATTAAACCCTTTCTAACACCAGGACTAAGATTCTAATTCACTGTGCTTCTGGAATGTGCTAGCAACAAACACAAGCCCAGGGCCACCAGGAGAACACTTGCTGACCCCAAGAAAGCATGAAAGTGGTCTTTAAAAATTAAAGAGAAGATGACCAAGTTAAAAATTACATAT